ATAGAAATATGGTGTTAACTGCTAATACTTTATTATGTTTTAATTTGATTGCTTGAGTGGTTTGTGTTATTGTTAGGGAAACGATAATTACCGTAAAAACAAGACCAACATTTGTTTTATCGTAGTGTAGAAGGCGACAGGTTACATACATTATAAATATTAGATTTTTAGATTGCAGAATCTAATTGCAGTTTACAACTGCTTTGGAGCAATTACATTTTTGCGTCTGTTTTGTTAGGGAACTAATGTTAAGTACAAATCTGGAGCTGGATATACTTATTCAGTAATGGGCTGATTAATTTTAAAGAAAGTATTGTTAAGTGCCTATCTTATACCTAATCCGCTGTTTTGCTGGTTTTTTTTTCATTAATTTTGCGTAACATTTATGTTGACCAAAATTGTCATATATTTTAGAAAAGATAGTTTGTAATATATACTGTGTAATAATGAATGTTTGTAATATGATGTGGTAAACTTCAATAAATAAATAAAGAACTCGTTGATCAGCCATCTGTGCCTGACGTACTTCGAATGACAGAGTTAGACAAGAATTTCTCTTGATTATTACAAATGAAATCAAGGTTCATATAAAGATAACTGTACATATACTTATTAACGGAATTATTGAAAATAAATGCAATTGCTCGCAACAGTATACAATGTAAAACTTTAAAAGTTAGATAGATCGAAAAAAAGATGTAAGCCCGTGGTTTCTTTATTCATCCCGGGTTCATGACATCAAATAGTTATATACAACGTACTTCAATATGTAATATAGGTTGTTGGAGCTCTGGGAGCAATCCAAACACTCGCGGAGGCAATAATATTCAAATCGGTTTAATATCCGGCGCAGTCGCCTCTTCAACTGTTTTGCATCAGCAGCGATAGCACTTGACTGCTGGATTGTTTAGGGATATTTTAAAACAATCTAATGTATGGAGAACTCCTCCGTTATTTATTAAGTATTTGGTCTGCGTGGAATTAAAGTACCTACCTACTGATATTTTTGGAGCTTCAGCTCTTCATTGTTGACATCTCCAGGTGCCGCATTGCACGATTTGGTTAATCGTTTCTTATAAAAAATAAAAACAGCAAAGGAGTGTCCTTCCCTAGACAGTATAATATGGGTAAATTTAAGCGGCGGTTCAATAGGCATATCCTGGACACGCGTGCCCTCTCATAGGCCACATCTCACAAGGGATTGTGGCCAAACGTATATAGTTAAGTGTAAAAAAATTTTGTACGAATCAAATTTTACCTTCAAATCTCAAATTTAGCACAATTTTTTCCGATTGAATCGAAGAGTGGTTCACGTTACCCCAATAAATTTTTATATATAAAAATTATAAATCGATAAATTATATGAAATTCATACGGAAACACTGATCAAGAAAATGTTTATTTAAATTCTTAAGTTCAATCAAGGGATTAAAAAGAACGTGAAGAGGACAAATAAATTAGTGTGATTTGAAAATACGTCCTTCAATGTATTAAGGTAGACATTGATTATGACATTATAATACAAAAAATTCCCTTAACAACTTGTGATACTTTTCTACATATATTTAAGATACAGAGAAGACTTAACAAAATGTGCTACTTAAAAAGTTAGTTCTTAAAGTCGGTAAAAACTCTCAGACATAGAAAATATTTTTACAAGTAAAATTATAGAGGCGTTAAGATCAAAGGTAGATGCGCGGGCGCCGGCGATAACGCCACTTAACTCTGAGTGCTCCTCAAATAGCTCAGCTATTTTTAAACCGACTCTCAATGACGGACATATTTAGGATATACAATATTTAAGTTATTTATAACTTGTTAAAGTAACACGACAAGTTTATGATTTTTAATTAACGAAATAATGACATTAACTTCATTAGATTAAACTAAATAAGCCATTGTTCAAATTTTACTACTGTAATCAATTTTCTTCATATAGCGTTAATATGTTGGCTATTGTGTTGTTTACTATTTCAGACTTAAGTGTTCAATATGGTCTAAGTTTTTGTCAATTAAAATGATGTTTTCTAATGTAGGTCATAAAATAAATTTTTAAAAGCTTTTTGGGTAGTCATACTTAGCGCTAAGTATCGACTGTGAATACCTTACTACCCTTAGATTATAGAAATTGCTATAACCTCTCTCTTCAGTCAGTAGCTCCGGTCTAAGCGTCGTGGTCATAATGTAAACATCCGAGCGGAATCTGTTTCCACCGGTTTCTGTCGGTGCCTCTCTTATTACTGGGTACAGTTTTGAGGACGATCAGTCTTTCACTTGGTCGGTCGATCTGGTTGGTGAACGGTCACGTGATCTTTGCCTTTTGCCTTCTGTGTTACCAGCCAGTTTCTCCAAGTTCTCATCGCCTCTACGCATTGTGTGGCCGAAATATGTGTTAAATCGTTGTCGGCATACGATAGATAGTCCGCATGCGGAATTGCATCAAGATCGATCCTTTGTGCACTTCAAATAACGCATTTCTTCAAAATTTATTTATTTATGTTAGTAACTAATCAAAAAAAATATTGGCAAGGCAAGAAATTCTCTGTTACGCTTTTCAATCAAGTTTTATGGTTTGCAAGGAAATTGTAAGGAACCATTCACACCATGCTTATCGTTGAGTACCATGCTTCACTTGACATTAAATCAATGAGTTTTAATAAGCAAATTAACTTTTAGCAACACGCAAAATGGTTGCACACAGAACACAACTATACAGATGTTAGAGCCGTTTACCGAACACCCATAATTTTCTTTACTATGCACGTAATATCATAGACATAACATATTTTATTACTAACGAAACACAGAAACACACAGAATAATAATAAAAAAAATTAAAAATAACAAATCTTTATCTTTTAAAGAACAAGGTACTTTTAAGTGTGTAATGCGTGTGTGCTGTGGCTGTAATTGGCCCTGTCGCAAAAAAAAAGAAAAATAATGTAATAATAATAATACTTAGTAGAAAAAATAATAATAGTAAAAATTTGCAGTGTAAGTAAGGAAGTCTTGTGTAAAAGTAAATAAAAAAATAAAAATAAGAATAATTGTTATGAAATTGATATTTTTGGGTGGGTTACAAATAATATTACGTGGGACTTTTGTTGAATAGCTAGATGTTCTTTATAACTGCAACGAAAATTTCATTTTAGTAATAGATATTGCGTAATTATTTGACACTTCACAATTTCTTGACGGTAAATCAGAAATGTAATGGGTACTGAGACCAATAGATATGTAGGTAAAATAGCTTGCGATGCCCGACCGTGAGGCCTTTCATTCAAATCCCGCAAAGTAAAGGTAAAATATATAAATAATAAAATAAAGCAGTGGCGCTACAACCATTTTAGGTCGGAGCCTCGGATTTCTGTATCTGTTTCATGATCATTTGCCAATCTAATATGCGAGTAGGTGATCAGCCTCCTGACACACGCCGTCGACTTTGTGGGTCTAACTCAAGCCGGTTTCCTCACGATGTTTTCCTTTACCGTTCGAGCGAATTTTAAATGCGCACATAAAAGAAAGTTCATTGGTGCACTGCCGGAGATCGAATCTACGACCGAGTTGAATAGTAAAAGAAACAGGCAATCTGATATCGAGGCCCATAAAGTGAGATAATGTACTCTGTAAATGCTTTGAACAATGCACGTACGCAGTAAAAGTAATTAAATTAAACTATTAGCTAATTTACCAAATCACATAACGCGGCATAAAGTATCAATAACTTCACGGTGGTTAGGTATTTTATACACGAACTTTATACTCTAAATCAATTATAATTCAGCTAAATATATAATGTAACGTTTTGCTCTACAATTGTTTAAGATTTTGATGTTTAGTAAGTGGCTCAATATTAAATACATGATCAAGTTACAAAGTCAGTGTAATAGCTCCTTGAACCAGCGCATTTCTGCATTCGCTCCGGTACTCCGTATCTTCCCACAGCGATAGCGGCCGCGACAATTCGCTAGGTACTTCTGATGTAGTTCTCTCGATTTCTGTAACGCTGCTGTCGCAACCTTGGTTGGTCCCATGGACGTCACGATCGCAATCGCTGTCGCCAGAGAACCAAAAACTCAATGTAAAAAAAATTATGGTTCTCATTTACATTTACTGCCAGTTCTAATTTTGAGGATTTTGCACTCTTTTAAATCACCAATGTTTATTACAAAACGTTTCTAAGCACCTGCAACCATCGTGCTTCTTATCAGAAGTATAAATAATAAATTATTATATTAAAAAATATATATAAATAAGAAAACCAAACGTTTAAATTTTTTCGGCAAGACGTGGTGAAATAGAGGCATGCGCTGACATGACTGTGGGAACAACAGCCAAACACGTAGTATCAAGGTAGTATATAATGATTAATACATAGCCGTATATACGGCGTGTTGTGTTGTGGTGACTTTTGGATATATAAGTAGCACCCGTTCACGAGTACGACGACGATGAACCGATAACCCAGGTCATATAGATACATATAAAGTATATGATCGTTAATGATTTTGTATTACGAAACCTTATTTAAGATATTATCAGGATATATATCTAAATATATAAAAAATATACTTAGAACGACTCTTACAGTATCGTTCCAGATTGGACTGCCTATTTCAAGAATGTCAATAAATGCACTTGATTATAACTGCCTTACAAATTCGTTACATCATGTTTATGTTTATTTGAACAAAGTATAAAAACAATATGTCAAATTTCTACGGGCATCAATAATTGGGGATATAAAAGCGATATTCTGCTTTAATTTTTCATTCTGCCGCAGTTTTTACTGTGGAGGTGAACGGTAAGCCTACCTTTATAATATTAAATAGATTTTTATTATATTGCTTTATTACCGCCATTGCTATCTGAGTCTTCTTCTCTTAAGTAAGACCCAGGTGAAGAGCGGCGGTCATTAGGACGATTGAATAAATACTTATTTCTAATGATTACCACAACGTTGAGTAATTGACGTTTCTTTATTTCAGTGGTGTCTCAATATGTCGTCCATTTGTTTGGTCCTTTTGCTCTGTGCTCTCGCCAAAGGGTACCCTTCCGAAAGCCCTCATAGTGCAAGTGACGGACATCATCATTATTGGGATCACGACTTCGCTCCGAGCGGCGCCCCTCAAGCTGCAGGTCGCTCAGGCGATGTTGCTAGAGCTCACGGAGTAGGTGCGAGTGGCGCACCTCATGCTGCACGTCGCGCAGGGGATGAGGTTGAAAATCACAGATTCGGTATGAGTGGCACCCATCCAGCTGCAGATCGCTCAGGCGATGCCCCTAGAGTATATGGGTATGTTGCGAGTGGTGCACCTCAAGCTGCAGGTCGCGCAGGGGATGAGGTTGAAAGTCACAGATTCGGTGCGAGTGGCACCCATCCAGCTGCAGATCGCTCAGGCGATGCCCCTAGAGTACATGGGTATGTTGCGAGTGGTGCACCTCAAGCTGCAGGTCGCGCAGGGGATGAGGTTGAAAGTCACAGATTCGGTGTGAGTGGCACCCATCAAGCTGCAGATCGCTCAGGCGATGCTGCTAGAGTACGTGATTTCGTTGCGAGTGGTGCATCTCAAGTTGCAGGTCGCGCAGGGGATGAGGATGAAAGCCACGGAGAACGTGCGAGTGGCGCCCCTCAAGCTGCAGCGCGAGAAGGCGATGCCGCTGGGGTAGCAGACTCCAATGCAGAACGCTCCGATGCACAAGATTCTCAAAGTGAAGGAAATGACAACGCATCGAGAGCTAGCCCTTTCTTACTTCAGGAAAGAGGAAGATCTAGGTATAGATACAATAACCGTGGTTTCGAAAGAGGTAATTACTACCCATATGGATACGTACCCAACGGCGGGCGCCACTATTTCTTTCCACGAAATGGAGAAGATGCTGAAGGGAACGAAGCTGTAGCTGGTGATTACTCTGCTGGATCCAGTCCAAATGCGTCCGCCAGTCGTACCAGCCCAGGAGTAGATGAGGCCCCTGGCTGCTGTGGTAATGCAGAAGCTGAACGTGAAGGAGGTAGCGGCTCTCACAATGGACCAGGAGGTTACGTTTATGGTGCAGCGTCCAGACATGGCGCCGGGTCAAGCAAGCACGCAGATGCGGAAAAAGAGAATCCTAGTGCTTAGGCGCTTAGTATTTTTAAATGTTCCTTTATTATATTATTTATGTATATGTATTTGTTTTTATAGATAATTATCTGATTTTATAAACATTACTGGGTAAATACTTGCAATGTACCACTGCAAACATGCAAAGCGGCAGAATGAGACATGAGACAATTTTAACAATTGGAAAGTGTAATTATTGTGAGTAAAAATGTTTAATAATAATGTCACTAATTGACAATCTTTTGAAGCAATTTATTATTTCACATTTATTAAATTTCTATTTCAGACATCAAATTATCTCAATAAACCTCCAAGTTCATGAAATGTCCAAGTAACGAGTAGCCCATATGCACCAAACAGCACCAACCCAACCACAGCTTCAATTTTTAATAATGTATCAGAATTGTTGTATTGTATTTATTATGTTTATCGTATAATTATTGAATATATGTACTTTATATTTATAACAAATGAGTTTTATTACGAATTCATAAGCTTGTATTTCAACCGAAGGTTATCAATTCATTTGACGGGTTCCCTTTTTCTATATATACTAGTGGACCCCACAGACGTTGTCCTGCATGATATTTAAAGCGATTAGGATATTAAGCAAAGTATGAAAGTACCGACTGCAGTGCCATCTGCCGGGCTGATTTGTGAATCTAAACCATTCCCAGATCCCCTTGAACACACACAAAAAATTTCATCAAAATTGGTCCAGTCGTTTAGGAGGAGTTCAGTCACATCCACACAAAAAAAACCCCACACGCACACAAGAAATATATATATTAAGATATATACATATAATATAAATAAAAAGTTCGATAGTTAGTTAGTTTTTTCGAAACCAGTGATCATTCAGATCAGATCCTATAAGTGGCCACATGACTGTGATGGACGACCAAGGACGTTTAAAAATGATTTCTTAAAGAAAATGGACAGGAAATTTCTTTAAGCTCTTGCGCACTTTGTTCATATAACTATACCCTTAAATTAGAAAGCGGGGCAAACACATTGGGTACTTTCAGTGATCTTAGCGAGTATTGCGTCATCACATCACACAGGATTATGGTAAGTCGCTTATAAGGCGACGGTTTATTAACCAATTGATAAATGAAAAGCTTTAAGATTCATTACAAATAGAGGCGAGCATTAGTAAATATTTATATATATTCATGCTTTTATCCTGAAGTAGGCAGAGACCACGCTACGGACTTTACATACTGCTCCAAATCAACAAAAGTACAGCAAACTTTTCGAGCCTTCGCCAGAAACAAGAACTGATCTATGCATTCCATTCCTATTCCATATCCTGTTTGCACTCTTTCAATGAATACTTTCCATGTATGAATTCCATCGACATTAAGAAGGTTATTCCACGGTTCTTTTTACAATCTTCTTGAGACCTTCCTTTATATAGTGGGACAATGACAGCTTTTTGCCAATCATACGCAATCGTGCCTTGTTTCCAGCAACTATTAAAGAGGTGATATAATACTGCATCGCACTCAGCTTATTCTACGGAAACCCTATCGCATTCCGCTGACTTTCCGGCTTTAATTCTCTTTAAAGCTTCCACAATCTCGTTTACACTTATATCGCCTGTATCTTTCTCACCTATGCTATTACCATCCACAACTATTCCGCCTTGGTCACGAATTCTGACAATTTCGGATATCTTGGCTCTAGAAAATCTGTATATTGGTTTCAAAGTCATGTGAAAATATCCTATGGAATTCTCTTTGACCTCCTTTATGTCAAGCATAGTGATTATAGTTGCCGCTGTATAGAGGATTTTTCCCAAAAAAGTTTCTTTTAATTTTTTTTCACAGAAAATTTCTACCGTTTGGCTCTATATTATGTATTACATATATTATATATACTGTTATAACTTTTAACCTGTCCAAGTACTAATTTTATTTATACAGAATACTTTTGACTATGTTTAAGGAAGATCAGATCTCTACTTTGTTTTTAAGAACGGAATTTCGTGGTGATTTATGATTTTAATTATTTAGCATATACATTAACACAAATTGAATTTAAGTACATTTCATAGTTCAAGCGATATTTACGTTTATTTCAGACAATCTCTCTTTGCCGACTTAAATATACCATCATATAATATCATGTATATATTATATTACATTTATTTAAACCTTAATATCTTTAAATATAGCTAGCAGAGTTCCATGTAGATAAGTATATTGGTATCATAGAAAACATTTCAGCAGATAAGAAATCACTGATTCTAGCTCAAAGATTCACGTTGGCACGGGTTGGTCATATTAGACGCACCGTTCAAGTTCACCGTTAAGTTCTTAGCATATAATAATAAGTATATAATTAAAAAAAAAATTTAAAAAAATAAATTAGCTTTTTCTAAGTGTATATGATGCGCTATATATGTAACTAAGACTAAGAGTTGTGAGTGTGCAAATTAAAAACAGGCTCTTTAAAAAAAAATTCCCAGGCTTTCCCGAGAATTTTCACACCTCAAAGTTTGAACCGTGTCGGATCATCGTGGGAGCCGCACCGTGACCAACACGACACGTGACTTGATGAGTATTGATGAACATAGCGAGGCCCCTTACCCCTGCATACAGAATATTCATATTTTTCATTATAATGAGATTCATTAGGCAAACGTGTAACATGGGCAAATTTTAAATGACCTTATATCATTCGAATTATTAAAACTAATATTCAATCAAGTTTATGTGGACCAAATTCATTAAATAGGCATCAATCAGCCAATCATAAAAAAATATGTAATTAAAATACAGTGAGTATGACACTAAAGGGACTGTGCATATTTTGACATTACAAAGAGTTATCGTTAAATGGAAAGAAGAAAAATCTGTATTAGGAAAAGACAATTTTTATTTCAGACTAGTGGTAGTAATTATCTCCCGCCTCTATTGCGGGTATCAATAGAACTTTTTCTTTAATACACACATTTTCTCTTACTTGCCTTGTTTACAGTTTGCAAGTTTGTGAGCAACTAAGAATATTATGATAACAAATATATATATATCAATTACTCCTACTAACAACAGTTAGCAATCCCAATTTGTAAACAATAGAATGGAGATTCTTAGAAACTTCGGTACGTATGATGCCGGCAGTCGAGTTTGTTGCTGTGTTGAGTGTATCATTGTATGAAAGACAAGCTAAACCAACCAAAGTCATGAGATTCAACGCTTTAAGGAGTTTCTCGTTAAATCAAAGGACGTTACATGGAGTTTACACTATGTCAATGTTCCAGCAATTTTGGAGCCAACAGGCATCGCAAGAGACGATGGCAAGCGGCCGGATGGGATGTCGTTGATCCTAAGAAAATTGGAATAGGCTATGGTATGGGATGCTACTTGTGTGGCCACCATCAAGCAAAAAACCGGGGCGGCCGCAGACGAGGCAGAAAATAATAACCGGCACAAATATAAGAGTCTGTCCCTCATCTTTGATTTTTGTTCCCTTTGGAGTAGAGACTTTTGGGCCGTGGGGTTCAAGTGCACAGGCGCTAATTAAAGACTTCAGTTAGACTGGTAGACAGTATCGGTGTCCCTAGAGCTGGAGCTTTCCTGGCTCAACGAATGGCCATCGCAATACAGCGAGGAAATGCTGCCAGCGTTAAAGGTACACTGCCACAGGGGCCATACTTTTTAAATATGTTTTAACTTTATTTTTAATTGTTTTTATTATTACTTAGTAGGTTAAGTAAATTGTAAATACTGTGTACTTGATTGTAATAAATAATGATATTGATCAACTTTTATGCATGAAAAGCTTTTTAAATACACTTAATTAATACTCCAAATTGATTACAATAATTCGTAGAATATAAGGAAAAGGGGTATAATATCATTACTACATAAAACAACAGTTTTATGACAATGATGAACCTGTTAAAGCAGAGTTGGGCCATCAAGGGAGTAGTCATTAAATGGCACGTGGTATGTACGTAACATAGTTCCATTTGGGCAGCTTTTAAGGAAATTGTCTGAGGTGCGCCCCTTTACCGCCATTTACAATCGTGGACATTTACATTGACATGGTTTATTTATTTAAATCATAAGCTGTGTTAAGCTTATCTAAACACTTACTAGTACGTAATTGAAAGCTACTTGCCAATGAGGAAAACTTATTATTTATTCTAGTAATAGTTAAACATTAAAAGGTTTATTTAATTTTCCGTAAGATTAATTTTTATATTTCAATTCAATATATATCTTTATTATTATTAGCAATGCTTAGAATTTTATTTTCTAACAAGAGTAATCAGAAATCTAAAAAAGGTTACTAAAAATGTTGCAAAAGAATATGACGGAGCAATGACGCTGGTAATTATTATAGATCTAGCAACATTGAAAAAGTCTTAGATCTAGTAATATTGGAAAATCGAATAGACCACATGTATTAACGGTTATAAACTGATTAAAGTTTACGACGAAGTTAGACGTTATTAATTTACGAGCTCCGTGTACATATAATGCCCATGACAGCTGATAACAACGCCTTTGCTCCTACACATATAATTGTGAAATTAGTTGCTGCTATGCTAGATTCTAGGTCTTTAGTTCTTTAAATAATTTTTTTATCATGAAAATTCTAAATTAACCGTTCTAAATTATTAACCGGTGAGTGTACAACAATCACAGCACTAATGCAGCTCCCTCGTGACTCGTAATTTTGTTAAAATATACATTTTGTAACGGAATATTGTTTTAATGTCGGTTCATCGAAGTTTTTGGGACGAGGTGTAATTTACTCAGTCACGACTTATGTATTATGTATATATTTTGACATAGATAATAAATAGTAAACCCGAATATTCCGCTATTATTTTCTAAGAGATAAATCTAAAACTCACGCTTATATGACTTATATTTGAGATAAAAAAAAACGAATTCCACTTTTTTACGATACCCAATTTTTTTTACAATAAATTTACGTCCTGAGTAGGTACATAGCTCTATATATCTGCGATTTAAATCAATCAGACGAAAAAGGCACAAATGTTAGTCGTTATTATTATGCTAAGCATAAAATTAAATTTAATACAGAAATAATGGAAAATGTTACACTGATGTTGCTTGGCCTCAAATAGAACACCAAATAATCTATTACTAAGGGCGTGATAAATAATAAAATTATAATTGGCAAATATCGAAGCAATTAGAATTGCGTCGAAGCAAGCGTTATAACAAAGCCAAAAAGGAGAATGGGAAACATGCTAAAATATTTGCATTACCCTGAACAAATTTAGCAAGTAAGTAGTATAAATTACGAACATCTAGATTTAATTTTGAATGACGTGAAGTACATAACCTATGCATTACAAAAATACTGTTTAGTTATAATTATAAATATCAATTAAAAAAGGCTATAAATAACTAGTCTGGGCATAAATACTGTTACATAAAAACCTTTAATTTTTCAACTTTTTAATTATTTTGAATTTGGAACACGTATATTATTTTAAAAACTTCACATATTTTTTCGTGTTCATTATCAAATTACAATATGAAAAGGGGTGTTTAAGAAAAAATAATTGCAGGATTCGCGATCGTTATTTCTTTATTTTTTTCTGAGACTTTAATAAATATAAATAGGTATAAATTTTAATAATATTACATTACTTCTTTAAAAAAATGCATTATCATTTGTAACAGAACTTATGTCTGGACTAGGTATAAAAAGGATTAAAAGTAGGACTAAGAGCAGTGTTGGCTTAGTGGTTTCAGCCTGCTACTCTCATCCCTGAAATTTAGACTTAAAAAGGTTGTAGCGCCTCTTCTGTCGAGGTATGAATTTAGGCCTTATATTTATTGTTAAACTAAATTTACGGCCGCGTAACCATTCTATTTGGTACACAAGATTAATTTTGTGTAGTTTACTTTGAATAATATTTATTATAAATAACACGGTTAAATCGCGTTAATTCGTTTCTTCATTTAAACTAAAGCATTATATATCCACAGTAAGCTCCTTTAAAAATAGTATAAATAATGTACAGTTATGAACGTTAATAAAATATCACTTAGATACGAGTTCCTAAACCCTCAATTCTCAGTCTACATAGTATCACAACAAATGCAATAAAAAAGTAAAAGCAATAAGATTATTATGCGGCGTAGTACAAAAGTAATACCAACACGGTACCCCGGCCATAAATAACGGGCTCAAATAAATGTCTGCACGTATGTATATAAGTGTTGTAGCGGAAGGAATAGTAACCATTACATAGAAATACTTTTAGCGAACAATAGAATTAGTAACAGAATTTTAAATTAACTTTTTCCCGTCTTAAATAAAAATAGTCACAACAATGATACATTTAATTCTATACATTCATTTGTTTATATGTACTCTGCGGTATTTTTATTGCAATTAAAAAAATAGACAAACAAATACCACAAGATTTTATAGGCCGACATCGTAGCATACAAAAGCTCTTGTCATTGCCAAGAAATAGTATTGTATTCGAATAAGAAATAATCTTGTTAGAGTTAATTCTGTTAATCACTTTATACTTGTTTTAACAACAAAAACTTTTAAATGTCTAAAAGTTTTAGATTTAGAACTCTACATATTACATTAAGCCATAGTTAAACCAATTTAGATCTAGATCTAGAAGAATGATATTATTTTAATTATATATTATATACAAAAATAATCCCTTGGAGGATGGGATGGGCTTTGGTATGGGATGCTACTTGTGTGGACAAAAGCTGGCGCGGCGGCGGAGAAGGCGGAGATTAC